ATCATTGGCAACTCTTTGTCCCATGGGAGACAGATGTGGCATTCTGCTTCTGGGAAGATTTAGTCTTCAGAGCCCTGTGGAGTAGTTCTACTCTGGCCTGTAGGGTCATTGTGAGTTAGAAGGGACTTTGTTTGTGCATTTTGTTTTTTAAGGTTTAATTGGGTATGATAGAGCAAGAAGGAATCAAGCAAATTTCCAGTGGGTTCTTTTTGAGAACATTGCTGATGACAGGTGCTCTTCGTCAAGATAGGGGTCCAGCCAGAGGAGCAGGTTTGGGAGAGATCATAAAAGCCTGTTTCCGATCGGCTGCTTTTCAAGGTTGAGAGGACCTGAAGGCAGATGTACTCGTCTGAAGCTTAATTACAATTCAGCCAAGATTAAATGGGGAAAGGAGGAGTAACGAGAAGAGACTGGGAAGAAACTGCATTAAGGGGACATCCTTGATTTGGTTCAACAAATATTCGTCCAGATCCTGGGTAGGCAATGCAGGACATGCTATGAGTCTAGTTTGTTTTGACAGCAGTCACAGATTCAGGCTCAACATGTATGAAAAGTCTTTCCAAGAATTATTGCCAACGGAAGGTGCAAACCTGATGGTGACCAGTTTATGATTGTTTCCCTGGTTCCCTCTGAGTTTTTGACATTCAAGTACCTCCCTCTTTGCACCTTGCCTTTTTACTTGAAATTCCCTGTGAGATCACAACGCATTCCAGGGTACGATGGTCGTGATGCTTGAGTGAACTCTCCTTTGCTTCTGTATTGCCTCATGCTAGTGTCGCTCTTGCTGTTGTGTGCTGTCACACACCAACCCCATATGGCAGAGTAGAACTGCCCCATTGGGTTTTCTAGGCTGGACTCTCTATAGCAGAAGATGGCCAGGCCCATTATCGCACAGAGCCACTGCTGGTCTCAAATTGCCAACTTTTCAGTTAGCAGTCAAATGGCTGATACCCAACAGACCAAATGCATCCGCATGGCCATCGAGTCTGACTCAAAACCTTCTCAAGGGTTTCCAAGTCTTTGACAGTCTCATCTTTCACCCAAAAAGTGCCTGGTGGGTTTGAACTGCCAGCTGTGTGGTTAGTAGCCCAATGCCTAACCCTCTGTGCCATCTTGGCAGCCCCGAAAGATAGGGATGGGGGGGTTCTATATCCTTATATAAGTCTCAAATGTTAGGAATTATAAGAAAAAGCCCAGATAAAAAGTTGGAAGAATATTATGTCTAATTTATTTGTTAGAGTGAAGATCCTTTTGAAAGACATTTTGGCCATTTGTATGTTGGCTGATTCTTTGTAGCTAAATAAGTACACACAGACACAGATGCAGAAACACACACACATACACACACACACACACACACAGGCTTTAAGCTTAATTGACTGCTGAAGCTTCCCAAGGTAACAGTACATATTTAAGACAACATGTACATAAATATTTAAGAGACAGCCTGAGACACATGAATGCTCATGAAGAACTGTAGGCCTGTGACACTTTGGAAATTAACTTTGGATGAAAAGACAAAATAAAATGTTTCAATGTGCTAAGCATGCAGAACCTGCAGCATTATGTTCTCCCATAAGGAAGTAAAAAACAGTCATTAGAAGCAAGTACCTGTGTCTTATGTCATCAAGAATTTGAATAGTTTCCCAGTACTTAGGTAAAAAACTTAGAAAAATTATTTTCTAACACATGAGATTTCGTACTGGGGTGGACTCACAGAGAGGACTTGTTTTGGATCTCCTTATTTAAACATTTTAAGTTCAATTTCCCCCGAATTCACATGGCAGTCGGAGACACTGTTGGCACATTCTGTTCCTCGCTTTCCCCCACTGCCCCTCCCCCTCCCCCCAGGTTGGCCTGTTGACTCTTTTATGGACTCAGAGCAGAGGGGTTTTTCAAAGGAACTTCCGCTTTCCCAGAGCTCTTTGCATAACTCCATGTGTGAATTTGCTGTGGCAACTTAGGAATGCTGGAACTCACACCAGCCTTGATTCAATGGCAGTGAGTGTAGAAAACATTTAGCAAAGTGCTCAGACCTAAAGTGTTAGCACTTATGCAAAACTTTTTAGAACAAGCCAGAGAATCATTAGTAAGGTTTAAGGAGGCATTTGAACAGAAAATGCACTTTAAAAAGAACTCATCCACAATTTGACAGTATGTGCTAGTAGTGTTTGTGACTAGTTTGTCTCCCCTGCAACAATGTCTTTTTTGTTTAAAGCACTGGTGTACCAGAAATCAGGATGAAACTGTTAAGTCAAAGCACAATGCTCAAATCTTTGGGGGTGAATCATTCTACTTAATATAATGGATGTTTTTGCAGCGCGACATTGGTTATAATGGACAGAAATCACTTGGGTTTGAAGAATACCTACGGAGGGCAGTCCCGATGAAGATTCATTCTCAGGCAGATAAATTAATTACCTGGGCTTGCAAAGCAGCAAAAGATTTCTTTCCTCAACAGCCTTGAAGGCTTGGTGTTTGCCTCTATGGAAACTCAAGAGCTATTTGGCTGATTAATATATATCTATTATAATAATATATATATTAAAATACATCAGGTAGAGAGTAGCGCTAGTTACATTTGACTCTATACTACTTTGAAATGATTTGTCTGCATTATACATTTGCAGTGTACGTGTGTGTGGTTTCCCCCGTCTCGTCCTTGCCGTTTTCCTGAGCATAATTCCATCCTGTTTTAGCAGTCTGAAGACCAGAAAATTTCTCTCGCATTCAACTGCATTTAAAAAAAATTATCCTATTACCACATGTAAGCCACATTTTTCATCACGTGGTAAGCAACATTTTAAATAATTCAATCAGGAGACCCATTGCTGATTATGAAAAATTGCGTAACTCCATATAAGTCAATTAGAAACCAGAAACTTGGGAAACTTTTTTGCTTGGTGAAGATGTATTGTTAGCGGTATCAGATACGAGATTTTTCTTTTTTCTTTTTTTTTGGGGGGGTGGGGTGGTGTCTGTTTTCTCCGAATGTCATTAAACTTGATTATAAACAAGTAAAATCTACCCAATATCAAATTCCTTTCCCTTCGTTTAACACGAGTGGTGTCTGAAATGTGACGATTCTATAGCATTAGAAAGATCCACAATTTGTAGTATACATTTACCCCCCCACCCCCCTTAGAGGGTTTTAAAAGATTGATTCTTGGGCTGTGCTTTTACAATGTTAAGTACACAAACTGGGCAAACTCAGGATTATTTTCCTGTTAAATAATGACCTGAATAAATTTAGAACTAACTAGATAGGTTGCTTGAAATGTTATCGGGTTGCCTGTTTAGGAAGCAGGCAGCATTTTAATAGACTGTAGTATCATGTACAATTGCATATACTTCTTTTCTTCATCTTATAAACAGTGGGCTTAGCGCTTTTTTAGAGACCTCCGATGCTGCTTGAGCGGACCAAGGGGAAGATGGCAGCTCTGAGCAAAGGAGTATCTCGAACGCATTTCTTCCCTTTCAGCGGCTTTTCGCGCCCAGAGTATAAATATAGCCAAGGTGCCACGTTTATCTTCTAAAAAAAACCCCATTTATCTGCTTATTTCAAGGTGCATAATCTGCCAGCCTAAGTTTTCAAGTGCGTCCAGGGCCTTGGGTAGGGTTCAGCAGTCAGGAATGACTGATGCGGGACTGGCACCCACAGCACGCATGTGACATGCTTGCTATTGCAATGAAACTTGGAAAGAAAAGGAATTGCCCACTTTTAATAGCAAAGAACGCAACTGTTCAAATTCTTCGGATTGAGAATTCCAGCAGTGTTCCAGTGTTTTCCTTTTGATGTGCGAGAAAATGAGTAATACCAAATAAACTCCATTCTAAACAAGTTCGTGGACTTTCTGTGACTCAACATTAAGTACATCCAATCTTCAAGACCGGTAAAACCCCAGAGCAGAGGGGCTAGCACTCTGGAAATGGGACAGATTCTTAAAGCTATTGATTTATTTGAAACTACCAGTATTGACTGGATTCAGGTCTGTTGAGCTACTCAGCTACTATGGACCATGAGATTTCATATTCCTATAAATATTTGACTTTAGTCTCCAAAAAACTCCCTGGGGTCTGTAATACTTTCATTCTCATATAATCTGAAACAAATCCCTTTCTTTTTAATATCAAACAGATCATGTTACCTACATAGTTGACTATTTACAAAGCACCCAATTAAATCCTACTTAATTCTCTCACTCTTAAAATTCCATCTACCTGGTGCACAAAGTACCAATCACATACTGCATAATGCTCAGAAGCCCAGATAGTCCAATCTCAACACAGAAAATATTACCGGCCTTAAAGAGTACAGAAAAGTCTGAAAAACAAGAAGGGTATTTAAGAAATGAGACCAGAAATCACAGTACAAGACAGATAAATCTACTTTAATAGCCACACATTGAAGTTGCACATCACAAGAGATTGAACAGTAAGTAGCGTAGCAGTAACTAACATAGCTATAGTGAAAATCATTTTCATAAAAAAATAATCTAGATGCAGTCATCAGAATTTTTGGTCTATTATGTTTGGAGATCGCCTTTTATCCCTGCTTGAAGAACTTGCCATTATGCCTTTGAACCTTTTTTTTTCTCCCACGGTTGCCTATTAATATTCTTTGGAGGAAGGAAAGCAGTTAAGCATTCACTTTTAAAAGTTTGTCCTTTGGTAGCAAGCAGAGAACACTTTTCATCTTTATGATTTAAATAATCTGTACAGACATGAGACTTGGTGACATTAAGCTTTTGTGTAAAAATGAAGTGATAAAACAATTTTTTTTTCACTTTTGATAAAACAGATTCCATAAACTCCTAAAAGAGCCAAGCATTTCCCTAACCCATAAGCAAAAATCATTCAGAATCCAATTAACCTCGGCTGAAAAACAAGCACTCAATATAGTACACTATAAAACCCTGTACACTTAAACACAGGAGTATTTCCAACACATATACTTCAGATACAAAGCTTTCCGTCTCGGTTAAAGAAAACACATTTGGAAGGACTCGGAACAAGTTTATTTCGTGATTAAACATCTCATACAGTCATGCAGGTCCACTAGCTAGGGCTGTTACTTCCAATTCTACAGCACTGGTAAAACAAGAACAAATCGGAAACGAGGCCAACAGAGAAGACAGTCAAGACCTCCAGCACTCTGCAATGGAGCTGGGAAAGAAACAAACAATCCTTTCCAAAAGAAATCTTCCCGTAAAATTAAAAACCAAATCACACATATATTATTTACAAAAAATATTTAATTAAAAATATTTTATAATTACAGTAGTCTATTAAAGCATATACTTCTCTCACACTTATAGAACATCTCTCTATATATACAGGGCGTGAAATGTCACTCAGTTTAGCTATACAATATGTAACATTCTTGCAGGGAAAAACAAAGTTTCCTGCCCCATTATAATCATCTATTTTAAACAATAGATGTCAGAAGAAGAAAAAAATATCTACAATGCGCTGGCTTATTAGTAAAGCTTCCAAACAAAAACTGAGCTCCTTGGTCACAAAAGGTCGCCTTCTAAAAGTCGCATTTGCTCTTGGTCTTCGAAGTTTATCAGTCCCCGTCGCGCTTAAAAGTTTAACTGCACCTCCAAAAACAAAAACAAAAACCACAACAACACAGGAATGTACAATTCACAGCGGCTATCAAAAGAAGAGGCGTATAAGAACGTGCAAAAAAAGGGGGGGGCGTGTGAAAGTTGGGGCTTTTCTCTCCTCTCTCCCTCTGGGCATGACGAACGAATGACAAGGACATCCTAGGGTTTGCTGCGGGTTTCTCCTTTCCTCCACGGGCTGGGCCTCTACCTTCGGCTCGTCCCCTCCCTGCTAGAGCCGCTGGCTGGGGCGCAGGCGGCCGCACACCTGTGGAAGAGGAATGAAAGAGGGGGTGTGTGATCCTTCCCGCCGCAGACTCACTGGCGCCGCCGACCCAACTTAAGACACGCTTGATCAACAACCCCAAACAAACCCGGCCGACAACACCCCGGCCCCCGCCGGCGCCCAGCGGGTCCCTGCAGGGGAAGCCGGGCCCAGACCCAGCGCGCGTCCGACCCGCATGCCCGCCCCTCGTCGGTCTCGGGCCGCGCGGGCTGACCGCGGGCGGTTCCCACGCCCCCGCGTGCGCCCTTCCTCGGGGAGGGGTGCCGGCGGACCGGCCACCCGGAAAGGCACGGGGGCGTCGGGGACACCGGCTGGTTCGCCTCCCTTTCCGGAGGACCCGGCGTTACGACAGCGAACGGCAGAAGGCGGGGAGGGGTGTCCCGCCCCCTCGTTAAGTTGGCCCGCAGACGTGCAGGGGACCGACGGACGCCGCCGCCGGCCGCTCGAGCCCGGGAAAGGGCGCTCACCTGAACAGCGAGGCTCAGCGGCACAGAATGCTGTCCCCCTGCTTGGTCACCGCGCCGGCCTGCAACGGCAACCCCACCCGGAGGCAGAGGTGAGCGCACGC